TAAGTTCATGAATTATGATCGATAAGACTTGTACTTATTTTTATTGTATGTAGGTGTATATAGGTACCCACATGAAATAAAATATATTTTTTTTCATAAACCTTTTATAGATTGTATTGATTAAGATATAAAAACTGTTGTTCGTTGCGATAATACGCGATTTCCACTGGAATAAATATAGCTGTGTACCTATAGTATTATGTTATAGATACAGTTGAACAGTTTAAAGTTCAATTTATATGTTCATTGTTCGTGTATTATTCTACTTCAACTTATTTTGTTACGATTTAAATACAAATTACAGTAAGTTATAGTGTGTACCTACTAATGAAATAAAATATATTTTAACATAAATGTAAACATTTCTTTTAAATATTTTTATTACTGTATAAAGTAAAAAAGTTCGGGGTAATCGAAAACCGGCGGAATCAATATGTAAAAAAGTTCGGCGGAGTTGATACGCGGCGCAATCGATAGATTTTTTACAGGTAAAAAGGTAATTTCGGCGCAATCGATATAAGCCCCTGAGTTATAACTTACAAAAATTGTAATAAAAGTTACAACTCACAATTCATTGTTTTTTAATATTATTGGATTTTTAATCATCATCAATGTATTCTAACTTTGTATTAACTTAATACTGTCTGTTGAATAATTTGGCTGGATTACCTACTTAATAGTATAATAAATATTATTTAAAAATTTTTTTATTTTTTTTGATACAGTTTCTGGTGATAAAAATTATAAAAAAATAATCATTGTACGTATACATAATATAGGCTGCCTATATTATTCACAAAAAGCTTACATGGGTGACTATAAGGTACCTATATATCATTATGTAGACAGTTGTAGACACTATACAATATAGGTACTTACTGGCTATCAATTCTCATACGATTTTACTTCATTAACCATATCCACACTAACTTATTTCCTATTCGTCCAATCTGGCCTAATAAGTTAAAAAATCTACATAAAACATAAAAATTTAGGTAGGTAGTAGGTGTCTCATTTTCCTAAAACTCATATGTAAATTTATGAGATTTTTACTCAATATAATACTTAACCATAGACGACTGAATTCAAAAACAGTATCTATTTGTTTCATATTTTTTTGAGTTTTTATTAATTTGCTTGTTTATATTTTTCAACGGTTTCTAATTGGATTCATTTTTATATAGGTAAATATGATTTATTAATGTTTTTACTTTTTAGCGAAATCTCTTACTTTTTAGTCTCGAATAAATTAAATCTGGAAACTTTGGGTTTTACAATATTTCCATGATTATGTAAGTAAACTAAAGACACCTTATAGCAGCAAAAATTAATAACTATTTTGATTTTAAGTATTATTATCCAAAATACTTTTAAAAATATTTATTATAAGATTTTACATTCATTAAAAAATACACAATATAAGGCTTACAGCCTCTATTAAGTTTAGCGGTCAGGGACATTGAAAAATCGGCAATTTAGAACTTTCGACGCCCTAAATACGGGGAAAAAACGGCTCCTACGGGCACGATACAAGTTACCGAATTTGATCATCGACTTCTAATCTACCCAAATCTTGAGTTTCAGAAACTTGTTACAAAAACTAAACGTTTTCCAAAATACACAAGGGGAGGATTCGAGGACCCCCCCCCCCCGACTCTGGGAGTACATTTTAGAGGGGCCTAAACCGAAACGTTTGGTGAAGAAACAGTCCCCTTAAGTTGAACCTGGCCGAGAATTACTTAGCTCAAAAAATTATATTACTTTTATCATATTAAAAATAATATTAAATTGTCGTGAGCCAAAACAAAATGCTTCTAATGTGAGACAACTGTATGGGTTGAAAAATGAAACTAAAAACGCTTCCCCTGTCTCAAGTATATTCACATTTTATTACGATTATGTGGATTTTAAAATTAAACTCCTACAGTTAAGTTATTGGAACCACAAAACTACGAGAAATAATTAATGGACACTCATGGCCTATGGGCTATGGATCATTTTTACCTTTCGGCCAAAAGCAATTTCCGATAAAACTGTAGGGGCTGTCCTCGTTTTAGGCATTACAGAGCCTGCATCCCCTCGTAAGGATGGCTTATAATTTTTTTATGAGCAAAGAAATAATAACGATGGGACAAAGAGTACAAATAAGCACTAACTTAGTCTAAACCAGTGGTCGGCAACCGGCGGCCCGCGGGTCTATTAAATACGGCCCGCTTTGAATTCTATAACAACGAAATTTAATTGATTATCATATCAAAAAAAATCATATTGTATAAAATATATAATTGAACGTTTCTATCAGTCATATTCTATACCTGTTGAGCTTCAAATGGAAATAATAGATTTGCAGCCACAAGATATATTAAAAGACTCATTCAAAGCATCGGCTTTACTTTTTTTCGCTGAACTTGCTGCATCATTTTCAAAAATTAAAAATATAGCTGCGAAATACTTCAGTATATTTGGATCCACTTACGTATGTGAACAGGCCTTTTCTTATATGAAAAAATTAAAAACCCATACCATTCACGCTTAACTGATGATCATCTCCACCATGTACTTAGAGCCAGCACAAGTAATTTTAATGTGGAAATTGAAAAAATAATAAACAATATCCAACAATAAAAATCACATTAAGCATATTAAGCAGTTGCAATTCCCATAATTGTATATTATAATAATATTATTAAAAACTGTAATTTTTATGTTCTATTAATCTATTATTTTAAAGTTTTAAACAGTTATTTTTTTTCTTAGTAAATATTTTGGAATATAAAATTGTAATTTTTGTCTGGCCCGCGAACTCTTTTTAATTTATGAATTTGGCCTGGGAGTCTAAAAAGGTTGCCGACCACAGGTCTAAACCAATCTTTAACCAAGTGTTTTACTACATTTTAAGGTCTATTTTGATTTTTGAGTTGTTTAATCCAGCGTATTACGTATTTCCTTGGTTAACTTTTTTAAAAATGTTTTCGTTTTGGTTTTTGATTTAACAGTTAGGGATACGAATTTTTTCAGTAAAAGTGAAAATGATCCATATACGCCATTTAGTTATTTCTAATAGTTTTGCAAGATAAAAACGTATATTTGAGAATTTTGATTTTCACAATAATTACGATCACGTAAATTTTATAATCAAACTCATGCAAGTAAGTTATTTGAACCTAAAAACTACGAGACACCTATGGACACCTTTTGATTACTTTTACCAACCAACCTCAAGCAATTTCCGATAAAAGTCTGTGGGCTGTAGTCCACCTGTCCTCGTTTTAGGATTCCAGATCATCCCCTTGTAAGAAAGGCTAATACCTAACTTTTTTTACTAGTAAATAATAATAACGATGGGACAAAGAGTACAAATAAGCACTTACTTAGTCAAAACCAATGGGACTGATTTGGACCAAACAATTCAATATGGGGGGTGCCGGCACGTATTTACAACCCCCTAATTAAATTTATAAGGATAACTCCGGAAGTAGTAGAGTACTGACGTGGAAAAAGTGGTACAGGATATCAGTAGCAAACTACTAAAGATTGGCTCATTTGGAGATCCAATATTTTGAATCGGGGCTGCATTATGGCTCCATACCACCCCCTCCCACTAATGATCCCCTGTAGTTAATTAGGGGTTGCAGCACAAACGATGAAACTCGAGCACAATCCAGCACAAACGTAGCACAAACGAATGGCATAATTTAAATTTGAAAATTTGGAGGTGGGGGTGCAGCCATTTCGCTGGCACCCCCACTAAAGATCCGTTCTAGCTCATTAGGGTTTGCAGCACAAACGATGAAACTCGAGCACAAACCAGCACAAACGTAGCACAAACGAATGGTGTAATTTAAATTTTAAAATTGTGAGGTGGGGGTGCAGTCGCTTCGCTGGCACCCCCAATCATTATCCCTTATAACTCTTTAAGGGTTGCAGCACAAACGATGAAATTCGAGCACAATCCAGCACAAACGTAGCACAAACGAAAGCCCTTGGTTTGAATCCAAAATTCGGAAGTGGGGGTGCCAGGGAAATGCACCTGATAAGCATATCCACTCACGTGTTATGAGTTCTGCCGGGTTGTCTTGTGTTGAAATATGATACCATTGCTCTGGCTCTGATACTTCACATATTCGGTTTAATCGGTTCTGCAACATATGCTTGAAACCAACTTCGACTTTTTATCCATGCGATTACAATAGGAAAATCAGACCAGAAATATATGGAGGACATGGTCTACTTGGATGCAAAATAATTTTAACTCGGCCTTGACTTCAGCGACCAGATCTGCTAATAGGAGCACACCAAATAGTTTCGGACGTTGGATAGTTGTTGGCTGAATATTTGCAACTCTGGATTTGAAAGTAAATAAGGTGACATGAGCATTGAATGCAGTCAGTATTATCTATAGAACGCAGATATACACACGCACCAAAAGCCTCTTGACACGCATCACTGAAGCCGTGGATTTCAATAGGTGAGTTTTGGTTGCATACAGCTGGACGGGGTATAGATAAGGAAGCAAGGGACTGTAAATTTGAATAAAAGTTAGATCATCTGGGTTATCTTCTGATAATACTTGATCATTAGCTCATTTTTAAGCTCCATAGCTGTTGAATGAAAATTTTTCCTTTGATCAAAACAGGACTTATTAGACCAATTGGGTCGTACACTCTATTAATGACTGAAAGGAGACTGCGCTTTGTCATGGAAACTAGTGGTGACCAGTTTTTCAAGGTCAGTGGTAGGTTGCCACATGTGACAGAGTGTGCTGATTACATCATTTTCACTTAATGCCACCGTGAAGTTAGGATCATCGTGAGTATTAGGGATACGTTCCAACAGTGCTATGGACTAACCACTTTTTCAGAGCAAAACCAGCCTTTCCTAGTCTTGCTTGAAGTTGAGTGTATATTTCAAAGCACTTTAGTTCAAATTGAGCCCCACTGATGAGATAATCAACATAAAAATCTTGTCCAATAACCCTTTTTATTTGTGGGTCATCGCATTCATCGGCAAGTTGTACAGCGAGTAGCCAGAAATGACGCTGATTTAGTGCCGAATGTAACTGTTTTTAGCTTATAATGTTTTAACGGTGGATCAGGACTAGCTCTATATAAAATTCGTTGCCATTCACTATCATCAAAGGACATCAAAACCTGCCTGTACATTTTTGCTACTTCTGCGGTAATGGGTATATTAAATAGACCGAAATGCCACAGTATTTGTATGATATCTGGTTGAACCTTTAGGCCTTTTAATAATATTTCATTTAATGAAAGACCAAATGAAGCAGCAGCTGAACCATTGAACAACACTCTCATCTTAGTTGTTGAGCTGTCAGCTTTGAACACAGCATGGTGTGGCAAATAGTACGTAGGGAGATCAGTGGACTCATCGACAAGTTCCATGTGATCCAATTCTAGATATTCATACATGAATGACTTGTACTGTATTGCAAGCAAAGGGTCCATTAAAATTGTTTTTCTAGGTTGCAAAAACGACTTTGAGGCATTGAACAGGACGTTTGGATCTTTTTGCAATGGTAATTTGACCAAGAATCAACATCATGCTCGCGTTGAATAATCTAGAGAATGATATAAGTGTGGATGAAAAAAATTCTAAATTTTGGAAATTAGAAGACTGTTTATCGGACAATATATATACATTACGTGAAATTAAATGTAAAGACCACTTTTAAAAATCTGTTATACGAGATATTCACTGACAGTTCGAGGTGAAATTTCCGTTTCTTGACTCAGACGTCAGTTTGGGAGATTCAAGTAACGCCGCGCTGCGCAGTTTTAAACTATTAGAAAAGTGTTTCAGTAAGAATCCGCATCTCCATGCTCAATATATACATTTTATACAGGAATATTCGTTAGGGCATATTGAATTGGTTGATACTGAACACGATATTAACGCTAATGAATATTTTCTTCCTCATCATGCGGTCAAAAAGTTGGACAGTATAAGTACCAAATTAGGCGTGGTATTCAACGGTTCGTGCCGAACATCTAACGGGTTGAGTTTAAACGAAGTGTTATTGAAAGGTCCAACGGTCCAACAAGAATTAGTATGCATTTTAGCAAGATTTCGAACACAGAAGTACGCTTTATCTGCCAATATTACTAAAATATATAGACCGATCTGGGTTAACGCAGAACATACTAATTATCAAAAACTATTTTGGAGTGAAAATCTAAATCAATCACTACCAACTTATAGATTAAAAACTGTCACGTACGGCACGACCCCAGCATCTTATTTAACGACAGGTTGCCTAAATAAGTTAGCAAAAGAAAAATCTAACAATTACCCAGTGGCCTGCGAAGCTACTGTAACAGACTTTAGTGTCGACGACTACCTTGGAGGTGCGCCTACAAAAGAAAAAGCATTAGAGTTACGAAATGATTTAATAAAAGTAACCCGTTGGCCGGCTTTGAACTTCGTAAGTGGGTATCCAAAGATAAAAACTTCTAAATGATATGCCAAATGTTGATAATACTCAGCTGTTAGTTTTAGAGTTGAAAAATCTTAGGATTAAGCTGATTCCACACTACCGCTTTTTAGAGTAAAATAGATCTATACGCGTTCTAACGTACTAACTTGAGTTTTACTCCTATAATAATTTTGAAAACATATTTGAATTTATTATGAAGTCTGTTTTGAATCCTTTGAATCAGAATAATAATAAAAAAAAATAAAACTATTTATGTCCATTAAAATTGTTAAGAATACAAGTTTTTTTTCTAAATTTCAAGTGAGGTTTTTTCTTTTTAAGAATAATAAATTAAAAATGTGGCTCAAAGGATCCAAAGTTGATTGAACAACAAAACCAAATTTTTTTCCAAAATTATTATCGGTGTAAAACTCAAGTCGGTACGTTGAAATTCGTTTGGGTCTATGATTTACAACACTTCGCCATGAAATAAATTTGTTGTTAGGCATAATGTGACATGTGCATGCGAGTGCGAGTGAGCAAGGCTTATCCAGGGTACAGGGAAGTCACTCACACTAATGATAATTTACTACACACACACACACATGCACGCCACTCACGCACGTACTATACAGATTGTCTAAAAATTGCCTATAGGTACTCAACTCTTTAGAAACGGTCGGTATGGAATCCCCTTAATATAGAATACACAAAGTGACTCCTACCAATATAATATTCAAACTGTAGAAATTGGTGAAAATAAATTAATCGCGTCTATATTTGACCCACTTGGGTTGATAGTACCAGTAGTCACATTGTATAAATTATTTATGCAAAAAATTTGGCAAATGAAATTAGTTTGGGACAACGAACTTCCAAAAAATCTATTACATGAATGGCAAAAATATATGTCCAATCTTCGTTTATTAAATAATTTAAATATATCACTGTACATTACGGGTTCAGGTGAGATTCATCGGTTAGAAATACACGGATTTTCGGATGCATCAATTGTAGCGTATGGTGCATGTGTATATTTAAGAACAATAAACGAATGTCAAGAATGCACTGCCTGATTGATATGTGTTAAATCTAGATTAAATCCCTTAAAAACTATATCGCTGCCTCGATTAGAATTATGTGAAGCACAATTACTTGCAAAACTAACAAAAAAAATTATAACAAAATTAAATATTCAAGTAAATGAAACATATTTCTGGACTAACTCAACGGTCACACTCGTGTGGATTAAATCATCGTCAGACAAATGGATAACATTTTTTGCTCCCCGCGTCGGAGAAATCCAAATCTTTACTTCGTTCTCGGAGTGGTATCTCGTTCCAACTAAACATAATCCCGCAGACATAATATCTCGCGGTTGTACACCAAATTATATAAGCAATAACTCATTATGGTGGGAGGGTCCCAGGTGGTTGAAATTAAAAAAAGCAATGTGGCTGAAAAGCATTCCATGAAACTGGACGAGTCCCAAGAAATTTTAGAAGCTACACGGTGTATTCAAATAATAGTAGGTGGTCGGTTAAATAATGCCACATCGATAAGCATATTTCAGCGAAACTCAATGCTACTACCTGCGACGAGTTATTAAACAACTTTACTATTTCGTTATAAACACATACGATTACTGCATGTGGGTCCGCAAGCGATTTTATCATCAATTAGGGAACAATATTGGCCTATTAACGGCAGGATTATAACAAGAAAAACTGTTCATCAGTGCATTACGTGTTTTCGATTAAAACCAACAACAGTTCAACCATTAATGGGTAATCTGCCAAAAGAACGCGTAAATCCAAGTCGTCCATTTAAATGGTTGCCCCATTACTGTAAAATCTAGTTTACAACGCAAAGCTCCTATAACCAAAGGGTATATAATTTTATGTAAATTTGTATGCTTCGCAACCAAAGCAATACATATAGAACTAGCTATTGATATATCTACTGAATGTTTTTTAAAAGCATTGAGACGATTTTGCAAAAGGCGTGGAATATGCTCAGAAATTTACTCAGATAACGCTACAAATTTCGTGGGTGCTAATCGTAAGTTACAAGAACTTAAAAAATGATTTTTCTCAGAAACTTTTGATCCCGAAATCCAACAGTTAACGGCAGAACTTGGAATACGTTGGCATTTCATCTCTCCTAGATCACCTCATTTTGGTGGTCTATGGGAAGCGGCCATTAAATTAGTAAAAACTCACTTAAATAAATTATTAGGAAACGCTATTTTAACCTATGAGGAACTAAACACTGTGCTTGTTCAAATAGAAGCGTGCTTAAATTCACGCCCGTTGACTCCCTTATCATCTGATCCTTCTGACCTTTCCGTACTCATTCCCGGTCATTTTCTGGTGGGAAGCTCTTTAGTCTCTCTGCCAGAACCTGACTTCACGACAACACCTCTCGATAGGTTAACGAGGTGGAGAAGAGTGAGTCATTTATTGCAAGAGTTTTGGCCAAGCTGGTCAAAAGATTATTTGGTGCAACTACAACAACGTAATAACTAATAAGTATAAAAGTGGCCGAGGACCTAGGCTTCGAGTTGGCACTGTTTTAGTCATGCGTGATGATAATCTTCCCCCCTGTGTGCTGGAAAATAGGACGAGTTGAAGAAGTGCATGTCGGAGATGACTGTGTCATTCGTGTGGCAACTATTTCAACTTCGAACGTTAATTCAAACAAGCAGTCCGATTATTGTCCTTTGCAATTTGGAGGCAATTATAATTAAATATTTTTATTATTATTGTTTTTTCTTTTTATATTGATTTATACTTATGTTCTGATATTGAATAGCAAAAATTGTATTATTATTTATTATCATTATTTATTGAAATATATTTTGAATTATTATTTCAAGGTGGGTGGTATGTTAGGTAGATATGTCATTTTTAATGGGACTTGTTATCTCAACTGTCGTGACCCACGATAACATATTTTGTGAGTCGGCAATACAGTAATGTGTTTGCTGTTTGAGTCCTCCGTCCTCCGTCGTCGCTTTCGAACTCTGTACTACCGCTCATCATTTAAGATCATTCTATCTATTATAATAAAACACTTATTTTATAATTAAAAATTACAGTCCATTCAATCATCGAACAATATTTTTGAGATTTTTTGGTTACAAAATAATCAATCATGTGGAAATTTAAATCCTTAGCTATAATAGTTGAACATTTTATATATTTTTAAAAACAATATCATTTTAAAATTTAAAATTTGATAAATGTTATCAAAAATCGAATTTTGAATAAGTATAAAAAAAAAATCGTACCTTTATGTTTTTAATATTTTTCAACTTTTATTGTAACATTATATGTATCAAGACTCAAGAGCCTTGTTTTAATTTTTCAAGCTATTCGACCCAAAAATAAAATTTATAGAAAAAAAAAACTAAAAAAAAAGGTGGATAAGTTGATGTCGCTCTGCTGTATAATAGGTTACAAGTGGGTCACTGTAATGGAGAGTGTTAAATTTAAATTCAATGATATAATATCATTGTATAAGAAAAACGATTCTGAGCTAAAACGGTCAGTCAGCATATGATATTACTAAGTATATTTCATGATATTATTGTGAATATAGTAATTTATATATAACCTATTTACGTAGAGCTTTGTTTTAAATTTTCAATCCTTAGCTATAAAAGATGAACATTTTATAAATTTATAATTTCAAAATATTTATTAAATTTGGTCAAAATTCGAACTTTAAATGCTTATAAAAAAAAAACTGTGCCTATGTATTTTTAAGATTTTTCAACTGCTATTGTAACAATATATCAGGAACCTAACAAATAAAATTGTACTGATATATTTTATACAATGAGACTAAAAAAATTTAAAATTGACAACGTCCGTAAATAGGCCAAAAAGAGTCAAATTATTTTTAAAATGTTATCAAGTATAAGAATTGATAAAATAAACATTCAGTGACATTTTTATGTATTTACAGTTATTCGTTTTTTAATTACAAAAAAATAAGGAAATCGAGTGAATATCAAATTTTGTAAAAATATTAAATTCAAAAACTCATAAAATTTAATTTGTTTTCTTGTAGACATTTTTTTTTTTTTTTTTTTTTAGATAAAAGTAGACAAATGTATGAGGAATTTTGTATTACATTTTCAAATCTTAGATTTAAAAAGAAAATTTTTATGAATTTCGAACTCAATAATTTGGAAATTTTCGTCATTTTTATGCATTTTGTCAATGTTTGAACTTTAAATGCTTATAAAAAAAAATTGTGACTATGGATTTTTAATATTTTTTTCTGTCTTTAAAACAATATATTTAGGAGCCTTCTACTAAATTGTCAAGCTTTTGTACCCAACAAATAAAATTGTATTGATATATTTTATAGAACTAAATACTAAAAAAATTAGAAACTGAAAATGTCATCCGTAAACAGTTCAAAAAAAATCAAAATTTTATAGTGTATATATAATGCTAACATAAACAATCAGCAGTGGCGTAGCAAGGGTATGGCGAACTGTGCCTACGCCAGGGGCGCAAATTATGAAGGGGCGCAAATTTGTGCTTTTAAATTGGTACTTATTTTTATTCTACCTTCAAAACGACATTTCTTTATTACCTATAAGGCTATGCATTTTGAAATGTGTATGATTTTGTTTATCTTTAAATTCGTGTTTCGTGTGTGTGTTTGTGAACACTGAACATCGAACTTATCGTTATCGGATCGCCCGTGGCACGTCTATAAAGTATATTATTATATTATTAATTGTCGTCTATACATCAATAATCTTATTATAATTTATAAATATATTAAAAATAAATATAAATATATTAATATTATATTAAAAATTACTTAAGATCAACTATTGGACAAGAGAGACTAACAAGCATGGCAATTTTATCCATAGAACATGAATTTGCTAAACAAATTTCATATGATGAAATCATCAATGAATTCTCTAGCCTTAAAGCAAGAAAAGAAAATTTTTAAAGTTGGAAATTTACATTATTATAATAACTGATAGTTAAATAATATTGTATTACCTAATTATATATATAAAAAATAAATGTTAAAAAATATCATTCCGTATTTTCGTCAATTTTTTAATCGCTAAAAAGGCGCATTTTCCTAGGTTTGCCAGTGGCGCTAACGAGTCTTTCTACGCCACTGGCAATCAGTGAAAATTTCATTTATCTATAGTCACTTGTAACTCAACATCTTTATCGATTTTGTCAAAAACCAATTTTGCGTATAAGTTCCCGTTTTTCCTTAATTATTTATTTTTGTTTTTCCCTGTGGTTTTGAAAACTATCGGCATTTTTTTTACTTTTGACCCTAAAAAGTACCAACTAGATTCACTTTCCTATCAAAGAAATACTGTTAAAGAAAATCTAACTACTTTTATTGTCTTAAAAGGTGATGACAGACAAAAAAAAAAAAACATAACACATCATTGATACATTAAATTGATACATTCATCGCTAAACTCAGTACTTATCTAAAAGTGTAAAAATATTAACTACCTAGTTATTCATTTAAATTTTACCAACTTATATCTTATTTAGATTATTATTTCCTTGATCGCCAATTCTAACCGAGGACATTGGGTAGTACTAATCATCGAACTAATCGCTCTGATTTTTAAGAATCAACACGTTGAACAGATGTCAAAGCAAATCATTAAAATGAATGAAACTAAGAAGATTTATAGTTCCGAAGATAATGAAAGCAATACGTCGTCAAAATATCCAGTAATAAAATATATTATAATTACATTTTAAGATTTGTGTCAAGTGACTTACAGTAACTAACTAAAGTGTTAAATGTTTTAACTTTTCATTAAATATTTTTAAGATCAATAAATATATCCTAAATCATTATAGGTAATTATATAGATAATTTTTAACAATTTTCGAAAAAAGGAAAAAATTCATCACCAGAACATTTATCTGAATTATCAAACGAGGACTGTGATAAATAATAATGATACAAATTTTAAATTGGTATTTTAGTATTTATTTTTTTTTAACTCCTTATTCCATGTATTTGGAATAAAATAAATATCTATCCATATACAATTTGACAGAACTTTTTATTTATGTTTGGTTATAGGTATCTATCTATAAGTTGAATTTCTAAGAAATCGTTAGTTAGATCATTTTCTCATTTATTTTCAGAATAAAATGATAGAGAATCTACGCAAAAACAATTTGATGGATGAAGAAGACAAGAGTTCCAAAGAAGCTATAATACAAAATTTAAACGTACATACTGTAAAAGATAAACTCGACTCTACAAAAACTAAATTTGAAGAACTTTTACTATTAGCTGAGCTCAACTTAAAAAAGTAAAAATTGTGTTTACTATGAATACCTAATAATAAATCTAAGGGTTTATAAATTATAATATAATACGAGCTAATATTAAACTATACTATAAGATATTACCAGCGTTTTGATTTACCAAAAACTGAGTTCTTTATTTTAGGGGAGATGATGACGAAACAAGTAATTCTAACAATTTGAACACAGCGTCTAGAAGAAATTCGTACACGGAAACTAGAAGAAATTCGAACAGAGAATCTAGAAGAAATTCACTTGAACAAATTAAATTTGACTTTGAAATGAAATCGTATAAACCAACTTTGGGGAGTGCCATCTTAAGAAGAAAAAAATATATTAAAAAAAATGTTAAAACTAAGTGGGAAACATATGATTTGATTATATTTAATATTGTTTAAATTAATTGTTTATTGGATTTTTTAGATTGAAGTTACCATGTTTTCCAATACAGTTCAATATGCCAAAAGAGACATACATGATATCATATTGTCTACAGAAATTTACTGTTCGTTTTCTACAAAATGGATTCAATACTTTAGTCAACGAACTTTATAACTTACTCACATCTAGTTCACATCAACGAATTGATACATCACTTTATTTCTGGATATTAACATACTTTTGTAGATTCTGCAAATTGAACAATATTAAATTGGAATTAGTCAGGTAAATATTGTGTTTAATCTATTATTACTTATTACGATCCAAGTTAATATTTAACTGGGTATATAATATATAATGTAAAAAAAAAATACAAATATATTGTTTATGATACCTAGACAAATTGTATCTTTCAAACTGATTTCATTCATCGTTCACGAGGGTATTAAAATATCAGAACAATTAACTATAGCAAAACTGCAAAAATCTCCTAATATTCATTTAAAAGTCAGACATTTGCATTTGGTACGTTATACCACAATATTATACTATTATATTATTATTATTATTGTACTATTATATTATTATATTATACTATTATCATTCATAAATTCATTGTGTTCAAAATATGATTATTTTTTTCATACCACGTGAAGGCCATCATGGCTATTAAAGAGGTGATAAAAACCATCGAGTTCTATCGACAAACTGCTTCAGAGTCACCAATTTACCCAGATCTAATAAAAGATCTTCAGAGTAAGTACAACACATAAAAGAACAAAATACGGTACATTTTTAGTAACAAATGTATCAAAATAATATAAATTATAATATATACTTATATACTTATATATAATTATTATAGTATATACTTACTATTCGTTTACTCGTTGAATTATGTTAATAAAATATAATATATTATTATGCATTATTAGGTATTTATTATATGATACGTTCCTGTATCCTATAATATTTTACTTAAGTACCCAGTTGAATATATACGTACGTCTTAAATAAAAAATAAAAAAATAGGTAAGTGGATGTCCCTCTGGTGTGCAGTAGAATACAAATGATTTGTCAATGTAATGGATGGTGTTAAATTTGAATTCAATGATATAATATTATCATTGTATAAGAAAAACGATTCTGAGCTAAAACAGTCAGTCCTATGATATTACTATTTACTAAGTATATTTGATGATATTATTGTGAATAAAGTGATTTATATTTTGACTTATTTACATGGAACCTTGTTTTAAATTTCTAATCCTTATAAGTTGAACATTTTATACATTTTTAATTACAAAATAATTATTACATTTTAAATTGGATAAATGTTGTCAAAACTCGTACTTTAAATGTTTATAAAAAAAAAATTGTGCCTATGTAATTTTAAGATTTTTCAACTGCTATTGTAACAATATATCAGAAGCCTTGTATTAAATTTTCACGCTTTTTTAAAAAACAAACAAAATGTTATTAACATTTATAGAAAAAATAAGCTAAAAAAATTGAAAACCGAAGACGTCCGTAAATAGGTCAAAATGAGTCATATTATTTTCAAAGTTGTATCAAGTACCTATAAGAATTTATAAAATAAACATTTAGTGACATTTTCATATATCTACAGTTATTCGTTTTTAAATTACAACAAAATAAGAAAATCGAGTGAATATAAAATGTTGTAAACATTTTAATTTCAAACGCTCATAAAAATTTTATTCGACTTTCTTATAAACTTTTGATAAAGGTAGATTATCATAAGATAATCTTAAATTTAAAAAGAAAAATTTTTACGAATTCTTAACTTAAAATAATTTGCTAATTTTCGTGATTTTTCCATATTTTGTCAATTTTTGAACTTTAATAATCTCTTAAAATAAACTGTGACTAAGGATTTTTAATATTTTTCAAATGTCATTGTAACAATATAGTAGGAGCCTTGTATTAAATTTTCAAGTATTTTTACTCAACAAATGTTTTATTGACATTCATAGAAAAAAAGGTGCTCTGCGGTACAGTAGGTTACAAGTAGGTCACTGTATAATGGATAGTATTAAATTTGAATTCAATGATATAATATAATTGTATAAGAAAAGCGATTCTGTGCGGAGACGGTATGTCAGTCTAGGTATAAGATATATTATATTATATACTTATCTATGGTAGGTATTAAAAAAACTTGACCTATAATAGGTACCTATAATAAATTCCAAAATCCAAATTCATCATATCACAATATTCATTAGGTACTTTAGTACTTATAACGCGTTATACATCAACAACAAACCCTGATACTATCATAGATATATAATGGTGTACTTTAGAAGTTTCAAGCACCCACGAATAATATTATAAAATTACAACAAAATAACTAAAATAGTTATTCTAGGTTTTTTATTATGTCATCTCGTCCAAAATTGAACTTAAAATAACTATAAAAATAAAATTTGATCATGTATTTTTTAGATTTTTTGGTAACAGAATTAACTACTTACGTGGAATCTTGTTTTAAATTTTCAATCCTTCGATATAAAAGTCGAACATTTTATAAATTTTTAACTAAAAAATAATTATTCAATTTTAAATTTGATAAATTCTGTCTAAATTCGATCTTTAAATGCTTATAAAAAAAAATTGTGCATATGTATTTTTAATATTTTTCAACTGATATTGTAGCAATATATCAGGAGCCTTGTATTAAATTTTTACACTTTTTTGCCCAACAGATAAAACTTTATTTATATTTATAGAAAAAAAACTAAAAAAATTGAAAACTGTAAATGTCCGTAAACAGCTCAAAGAGAGTCAAATATTTTCAAAATTGTATGGTAAATTATAGGAAATGCTGATATAAATATTCAGTGAAATTTTCATGTATCTACAGTTATACGTTTTTGAATCACAACAAAATAGTAAAATCGCTACATGAGAAATCGAATGAATATCCTAAGCTGTAAAAATTTGAATTTCAAACGCTCATAAAAATTTAATTTGACTTTCTTGTAGACATTTTTTTTTTTGATAAAGGTAGATAATCTTATAAGGAATCTTGTATTACACTTCAAAATCTTATATTTAAAAAGAAAAAATTTTAGGTAAAATTTCTTAACCCAAAATAATTTGCTATTTTTCGTGATTTTTCCATATTTTGTCAATTTTTGAACTTTAAATTCTTAAAAAAAAAAAACTGTGACTAAGGATTTTTAATATTTTTCAAATGCCATTGTAACAATATAGTAGCAGCCTTGTAGTAAATTTTCAAGTTTTTTTAACCAACAAATTAAATTTTATTGATATTTTTAGAAAAAAAAACTAAAAAAAAATGGAAAATAAAAATGTGCCTAAACAGTTCAAAATAAATCAAAATTTTATCGAGTATAGAAAATGCAAATATAAACAACCAGTGAAAATTTCACTTATCTACTGTAATTTGTTTTAAAGTTACACCAAAAACCAAAATTGATTTTCTCGAAAACAGACTGCGTAAAAATTCCCGTTTTTTATTAATTTTTCTTTTGTTTTTCACTGCGCTTTTGAAAACTACTGGAAAATTTTCATTTTTGACCCCCCCCCCCCCCCCCCAAAGTACCAACTAGATTCACTTTCCTATCAGTCCAGAGAAGCTACTGTTGAAGAAAATCCAAGCACTTTTACTGTCCTAAAACCTGATGACAGACACAAAAAAAAATTAAAAATTAAAAAATTAAAAAAAAAAAAAAAACACACATCATTGTAAAATCAATATATTCATCGGCCCACTCAGAATCTAAAATACTAATAAAATTGGAAACTAAAAATGTCCCCAAACAGAACAAAACAAATCAGAATATTTTGACAATTTTATAGTGTATAAAAAATGCAAAAAATATAAACTACCATTGAAAATGTCACGTTTCACCAAAAACCGAAATCAATTTTGTGGAAAACTGATTTTCCTTAATTTGTATGTTGTTTTTCCCTGCGCTTTTGAAAACTATTGGGAATTTTAAATTTTGACCTCTTCAATGCACCAACAATATTCACTTTCCCATCGAACAAGATACTGAAGTTGAAAATCGAATCATTATTTCAACTAGGTACCTACTTATCATGTAGGTATACACAGACACGAAAAATTTAAAAATTTAAAATTTAAAAAAAAAACAAACACATATCATTGTAAAATCAATACGTCATATTTATTATTTTTTTACATATTTAATATTTATATTTCAATGGTCTGCTTGCCTTTAATATATCCAGCCCCCCCCCCCCCAAGCCAAAAGTTGAAATTGCGCCTATGCACTCACAGACCCATCACACGTAATTGTATGCCTACGTGGTTCATAATAGAGTAGGTACTGCCTTAACCTTTTATTACGTCATGTTTGAAGCCTATGGCCTCATACAATAAGTTTGATACACGTTAATAATTCCATTTTTATGATTAAATATTATAATTTACTAGCTGATATTACTAGTTCTATTTACTTCGATGCCCGTAAAAAATTGCAACTTTTGAAACATTTTTAATATTGTTCAACTCCTTTTAGGTGCAACTCAGCCTCCCTTGTAGGCAATCCTACTACGTACGGACAATGTGTGAATAAATCAAATAGCCAATGAATGTGTGAAAATTTGATTTGATGAATGCTAATTGCTTTCACCTGATCTGCCCGATTAATCAATGGCGACCAAATAATAAAATACTAATATCTAATAAAACCAATTGCAACCAATATATACAAAATTGTCCACCGTTAATCTCAAAAACCCCGTTTGAGCACCTCCCCGGGTTCGGGGTAGGAGGGGAGTATCTTAACGACCTATACTTATATCTGCCAAATAAACAAAAAAAATTCATTAAAATCGGGACCACAAACACCGTGACGCGATATTTTTATTTATTAGATAACAATAGGTAGCTACCCCGACTACCGATAACTGATTAATAAATATTATAGTTTGGTAAATCTTTTCAAAGTATTATTATATTCTATTTGGGATAGGTACTATTTGTATGAAGTATTAATTGAATTAAGTATTCTGAATGCTATTTTTATAAGGATTCGAGTATTTATTCCAAATACTTTTTAAAAGTATTTTACCCAAGTCTGCTCATAGGCAGGCTAATCTATCCCAGTAACCAGTTTTTACTTGTTTGTATCGTAGGTAGGTTTTATAAGGCAGTAACAACAGTCAAAATTATACCTATAAATATGCTTAATAATCTAATGTTTATATGATATTTAGATTCAGGCAACAACTCTCCAGAATCAATCACTTGGGCAAAGGACATCAAGTCTTTATTCACATTACTAATTCGTAACTATGATAGTGACATACAGATTATTGAATACTTGTCGGATTTAATAGTTACAAATCATATGGTATTGTCATTGTTTGATACCCTTAAAGATTGTTGGAATTTAAACGACAATATTACTGGGTACATCAAAAAGTAAATATAATACCTGATTCCATACAGACTATAATATTATGCATAGATAATTACTAAAATTATGTAAAATATGAAACTAAAAATTTAATTTTACTTACCCTATAGGTTTGCTGTTCCTGACATAATGTACAGATATGGATTAGTCCTCCAAAATTACGAAAAAAATAGTGAAATTGTCAACGAATCAGTGCTTGTTATGATGCATCATGTAATAACTAAAGTCGAAAACACCACATCACTCTTTCAACCGATCATTTTGAAAACATTTTTGAAAATTTTCGAAAATAATGATTGTCAGTACCAAGTAAGAATGAAATATTTTCACTAGTACTTATACCTACCTAAGAATAGCATAGGTAGGTATATAATGTACCTAGGTACCTAGGCACTGTAATTATATAAGCACCCAAGTAATGTCATTCATTTTTGTTTATTTTAGAGGTGGTCTGATTTGATTGAAAATGTTTTAAGCAAGTTTCTAAATATATCACACACATTGAACTGTTCTGAAAACAATCTTCGTGGAATTCCGTGTATCTACGAATCAACGAGTGAACTTTTAAATTTGAATAGCCATCGAAATAAAAATAAAATTAATTTACTAGAAACTACAAACACGTAGGTGGATGCCTATGCCATAAAAAAATCAATGGAACTATGAGTACCTTATCCATATAAATATACCTAGGTATAAGTTTGTCATTTTTAAAACTACTTATATTATAAATGTATGTTTAATATTTTTAAATAAGTAATAATAGATAGGTGCCTATAGATACTGCAGTGCATAATATAATACCTATATAGCTACCTTTCTGTGTCAAACCAGACATAATATCTACGTTTAAGCATAGGTGCAACTAGGGATATTTTTCTGGGGCAATGGGCTAGAATTGTATCAACAGCACTGGCCCTAATAATTTATATTTTAAACTGAAATATGATTAAGAAACTGGGGTTGGCTTAGTGGTTATGGATAAAACTGGGGAGGCCCTCCCTAATCTACCTAAGCCCTCCCTAATTGCGCCTATGTGGCTATAAGTGTACAACATTAACCTATATTAGTATAATATAACTATTAATTGTCTAATACCTAATCAAACTTATCTATTAATACATAGGAAGCATTTTTTTTTTATATATTACTTTAATTATTTATTATTACAATATGATAGCTGTTTATTTACAAAATACTCATTAGGTTAAAAAAAAATTTAACTAGTGTTAACTATAAACTAAATTATAATAGATGTTAGAAATTAAAAGTAGGTAGGTACCTAGATATAGGTACATAGTTAAAAAAAATTACTTATAATAGATAAATTAATAGGTATTACTAGAAAAGGAATACTAGGTAATAGGTATTTAAAATAAATATTGTAGACTTCCATATTGGTCAAGAAAGGCATTAAATCACAGATATAGGTATTTAACACTAAATATTTAAGTATTTAAGATAAATTAGGTGCGTTGTTTGTTGGATGCAAGGTAAAACATTTGCATTATTGCATAACATTTAGGTACTTAGATAGAACTGGTAGATGCTATTTTTAATTCTCAGATTTGTTGTTGAAATTAATTAAAGATTTTCAAGAACAAGTCAAATAATAACCTTTTGATGGTTTTAGACATTTTTAATGATTCTCCATAACTATAGTTATTAACTAAGCATTTTATTAATATTTATTAGGTAACCTATCTTCTGAATGTTCTTTGATTAATCATTAGGTATTAATTGAAAAAAAAATACTAATAATCTTTTTGCGTTGTGTACCTAAGTACTTAGTACCTACATACCATACCAGATACCTACCTACTCCTTTTAATTTTGTATTTAAAAAAATATATATATTAATTATTAATTTTTCTTAATGTTTAACAGTATTTAAAATATGAGAGTACTTAGGTATATTACCTACCTACCTAGGGATTTTCGCGAGCAACTCTGATTGTGATTGACTAATGAAAAATGTTGTTGCATTCCACAACAATATTCTGAAACAACGCTACTCCAGAATTAATAAACTTAAAGGACAATTATGTAGCTATCATGTTAGTATGAAAATGTTGCTAGAAATTAGAAATTTAGAATAAATAAATCCCTCTCTTAGTTTTTAAATGTCATACGCAAATCACCATTAATATTAACTAATAATATATAATAATATTATTTATGTACCTGTATAGTGTATACTATATATTAAATGAGCATTTGTGTCGATTTAATAATTTAATGTTAACTCGTTATGTATGTTACATGTATTTAAAATGAGTGTATAGAACGTTTAGATTGATCAAATCATATTATTATATTATTTTATTTCAGTTTTATTTTGTACCTATAGGTATAACTAGTTATTAACTATTATGATAATGTAGTGTCATTAAAGTCTAAAGTTTTATGTATGGTTAGAGTAACAAATTACCACTTTATTATCACCTTAAGATCAATATTACAAAAACTTTTTCATTCCAATTCTAATTACTTAATAAAAATACACTACTATCACCTGTCGCATAGGTGCCTATTGTACCTGCATACAATTTAATATGACATAGAAATAATTATTTTTTTAAATCGTAATTATATTACTTATAGCCTATAGGTAGTAGGTAGTAAAATAATTATGATAATAATATTATGTATCTAAATAAATTATTTGTTAAATTTTAAAAATACCTGAGTTTCTTAGATTAGTTTATAATATGCATCAATTACAAACATAGTTATTCTTAGACTATAATAGTAAGGATTTAGCAAATACTTTTTAAATAATAAAAGTTTAAGCAAAAGTATGATTATTATTGATGTTTTTCTTAACTTCTCGAATTTCTATGTTTCGCATAATTTCAGTTACAGCCCTGGTTCCTGTTAGATCTTTGATTTGATCAATAGATCGAGTTGGAGAACGTCCTATATTCCTTTTGCCTTGCACTTTTCTTTGAATGGTTATTTTTTCTAGTCATATCATTAGATGAGATACCAAAGAATTTAAAGATTTGACTCTTTATTGAGGACTAGGAGTCGTCTGTTCTCTTGTATGTTCAGTTCTTCTAATTTTGATTCATTAGTTCTGTATGCTGTTCTTGTTATACACAGTATTATTCTATACAATTTAATATCAAAAGATTCTATTTTCTTTCAGCAAAATGCATTAATAGTCCAGGACTCTGAGTCGTATATCGCTATGGGGAAGACCAGCGATTTCATTAGAAATTTCTTTGTTTCTTTCCTTATCCTATATTGGCAATTATAGACAATTCAGCGATTGTTCCCTTAGCCATTCCCTGTTTGTGTTTTATTTCCTCCTAAGAACCACCTTTGTAAGCATGCCCTAAGGTAGATTAAATTATCCCTATATTTTATACCTGGGATTTGTTCAAAGTGCACGGATAGTGTTTCTGCTCCCTTAATCATTGTTAGGTTGGATAAATTTCCGTGTTTGGCATCAAGGTCTCTTATATAAACTGAAATACTTGCTACTTACATCCTACTTCCTACTTTTCAAATCTTAGGTATCCCACTGATCGCTCTTTTAAAATTTACTAGGGAACTGCCACGTCTGAAATAGCAAGTATAAATGCTGGAGTTCCTCAAATGTTATCTCCATTACTATACAATATATTTGTCTCTGACCAACCCACATCACCAAACGCTTCAGTCTTGGACTATGTGGATGATAAAGTGATTATCTTGATTAACAATGGCCCATCCTTGGCATCCTTATATTTGCAAACCCATCTAAGCCTGATGGATAGATGGTATACCAAATGGAAATTTAAAGTGAATCAAAATAAATCAGTACACACTACTTTTACACTAAGGCAAGCACCTTGCCCAAATGTACTACTTTATGGCATCCCTATCCCTCCATCAACCTCAGTAAAATACCTTGGTCTAACACTCGATCAATGCTTAACCTGGGCTCAACATTTACGTGAAAAAAGACTATACCTAAACAATCGACTACTTATGCTTAAGCCATGAAGACTAGAATAAGAAGACCAAACTTGTACGGCCGCCCACATGAAAAAACATATCAAAATGAGTCGCAAGATCACAGGCTGCGCAGCTTACGCTAGGGTTGCTACTTTAACCCTCGTAGTATAGGGATTATTCATGTTTTTTTTGCGTTTTTTGGAAAATATATGCATTATTTTGAACCATGACCCTCTTTAGATCTTATAGCTTCTACGATTACACTTTTATACATGTGCATAAGTGTATAGGTATTTCATAAACATGTTATTCAAGAAACAAATTTGAGTGTAATGATAGGTACATATATCGGTATAAATCAATCATTCAAAAAAGCACGTATATTATGTATATTATGGTGTATTGAATAATATCGGGCTCAGGCTTGCTGTGAACAAATATATATAGGTATAAAATAATATAGATATAGTATTAACGGATTGTATAATTTAATTATTTACACAAAAATAAAAATAATATTTATGAAATAGGTATACACATATTCACATACATAAACGGCATGTATGGCTTAAGCATTTAATTGGTAACAAAGCCTCCCCTATTAATATCAAACTCCTCATGTACAAAACCTTATTAAAACCCATCTGGATATACGGATTGCAGCTATGGGGAAATGCTAAGAAGTCTAATCTGAATAAGATACAAGCTTTCCAAAATATAACCTTAAGGAAATTAGTTAACGCCCCTCCTTACATATCAAACCCTACTATACATACAGATTGTAAATTAAAAACTATTCATGACGAAGCTAAACATTTTTATAAAAAAAATCATAACTGTCTACCTTCCCATTCAAATCCTCTCAAGAACTTATCATCCCCAACAATACCAGGTAGCCCCTCAACGAGACTCAAACGTAAATGGTGCAGAGATATATTGCTTTAAATATATAGGTGTATAAAAAAAAATTTAATTAAATCACACAAGATTTAAACCAAATCATTTATGGTAACATAATTTATAAAATCGCAACACAGCCCAGTCCATTACAATTACAATGTGTTATGAATAACTGGTACTCAGTACCCAGCTAATAAGTAATAAGTAATAACTAATGACAGAATTGGAATTAGATACATGTTTTTGCTATACTTTAACTAATACAATTATTGATAAAGTATTTTCCTGTGCTGGTAATTGAGAGTTTATCAAAATCCATGACTTTATTTTTACAACAAAAGTAATTTAATGATTAAATTAAATAAATAGCTTAGTTTTATGTTGAAAATCTTTTATTTTACATTTTAAGTGCTTTTTTATATAGTTTATATTGCTTCAAATGTTGAACCCTAGTTATCATTATTTCATAAATACAACAAAATATGTAAAATGTATGTACAAGTAAAATTTAACCAAACTAAGTTCAGATACTAAAATTAAATTTTGAATTTTGAGTATAAGTAGGTATAGAATTAATGGATGTAGCTTCAATAAGAATATTTTTTTATTTTTTTTTATTTTTTGAACCTATGTACATATTATTATACTAAATTATATAACGTTTAACATGATACAATCAGCTATTTCATAGGTAATTAAATAATGTTAAAATATTACAATCATGTCTTCTAACAAAAAATATTTTTTCTGTATAAGTGTATAACATAACATTATGTAAGGAAATGTACTTATATGTAAATCCAATCCATAATTTAGAAAAATTTGTAGGGATATTAAATTAATTAATTGTTTAGATTAACCACAATATGAATATTGAACATTGTAATGGTATTAGGCTTTAGTATAGTATTAATAGTATTATTTCACTTATTTTTAGGAAATCATTAAGTATTTTCATATTGAATGTTTTATTATACTATTTTATTGGATAGTAATATATAAAATTATATAAAAATTGGACTATATTATAATTAACTATTTTTATCTATAACAATGTTTAATTTCAAGTGTAATAACTAATGAAGAATATTAGTCACAAATTTAGCGTATGTTATGATAGAATCATCAACATTTCTTAATGAATTTTTTGATTCAACATCTTTATCCACTTCAAAATATATAATTGGCAGGGTTTAGTTATGGACTCCAATATATTTTCAAACATTTTTAATTCCTTAAATAGAAAATTAACAAACCTAAGTTTACAACATAATTATTTGCCTAGTTATAAAATAAATATCTATGTTAAAATTTGTAAAGCAGGCTAGGTTAGGTTCATGTATTATCTACTTAAAGAAATAAATATAAATAAAATATAATTAATTAATATTTAAAAACATTTGAAATTTAAATTTTCCTCAAAATATCATTAACATAAGTTTTATTGAACCCCCTAAAAAGTTTATTATTAGCGATGAATCTCTAGCTTGTACTTTAAAACATTTTTTTGAAATTTTGCATTACACTGTAGAGTAATTTCAATTGTTGTTTTAAACTAACCAGTTTTGTCGCAAAATTATTAGTTAAGATATTGACAAAGTATTTTTGAGTGTATAATAATACCATTAGGTATATTTATTATTCAGGTAAGTACAAGTTTATGTATAAACTTTGAGTAGGTACATTATATGAAAGTTAAATTAAAAACCACTTATTATATTGTGTTAGATGCTAACATTAGACACTAAAATAATTTTTACTGAAAATTAAATTAGTATATAGTAATTACTAACTTAAAAAAATAAATAAATACATAAGTTATAAATTATAAATAAATAATTAAATATGTTTACATAGATTTTCGGCTTGTAGTTATAATTATAAAATCTACTAATAATCTAAATAATAATTACTTTAATCAAAAATTTTACATTTTACATTTTTTGTTACTGTTATAATTATATATTTAGTTTTATAAATAATTGTGTGTACCATTATAAAAGAAATTAAGAACAAAAAATAATTATGAAATCTTTGAACAAAATTAAAATTCTTTTGTTGAACTACTTGAATGTTTTTTAACATAATAATGATCAAACTATAAATAAGATGTACCATATAAAAACTATATAAATGTATTTTTAATTATCATAAACTCAAGTTAAAAAATAAAATTACTTATTATATTTAATTGATTGAATTTAATCATTCAACATTCTTAGTTTGGAAAGATATTACACTGGCTTAATATACTCTTTTAAGTGAATCAAAATAATAATTTATGGTGAAATATCATTTAAAAATTACATTTTCTGATTTTTTTATTAATCTTTAACTTTGGCAACAGGGGCCATTTGCAAAATTTCATAGATTAATGCATTTAAAAATATATTATAATTAAAATTAATATTAAGGTGATAGGTACTGAAATAGGTATAAGAAATAAAAAATGTTGATTAATTATATTATATTATTTTGGTAAATTTTAAACACTAAATTTAAACATATACCTACATGTTTTTGACTAAATGTACATATAAATATAACTAAGAATAAGAAATTAAAATGTATAAAAAAAAAAATTAACAACTGGTCTAGAACATGAATATTTCTAAATTGTTGTGATTATGTAAGCTTTAACATATTAACTGCTATATGACCACCAGTGATTGTAAATTAATTTGGTTTTATATTATTAACTTTTCCATGGCGCTACAATAATACACTAAAAAACCATGGCATTTAAATCTTTTATTCAAATACAATAGTGTATACTATATACATACAAATTTGGAATGACACTAAAAAAGTATACATTGCGTACCGATAATAAATATTGAGTGATTGCTGGCGGTCACATGGTAGTCAACGTGTTAAAATAATTCTGTTTTCAATTCAATTCATATTGAGTTAATAATGTTAGGAATACTTTTTACACATATCTAGAACCATAGATTAGTAAGTGTGGTTAATAATAAAAAAAAATTATTTTTAGTAACTGATTTGTTGGTTAAAGCTAAATCAAATATGTCATCATACACTTAACAATAGTTATATTTAGAGTTACGATGAGATCACACTACATGAATTGTGAAGAGATAAATATAATTAACTTGTAGGTAACGAAGTATCATCATTTTATTAGACATAATATGACTACATAATATAGCTACATATTACATGTATACATAATGACATATTGAGAAAATCAAAAATTAATATTTTTAAGCGCAAAAAACAACCACTTAAGCCTGAAGCTAGTCTTAGTTCAGAAACCAAATATATACACAATAAAGAAGACAACATTTCCTGTATCATATATAAATGTGGTAACTCAACAATGACTATAACCTCAATGGTTATATTTTGTGCAACAGGGTTTTCACAAACAATATATTATATGGCAGTTCTCTTCAGAAAAAAACAACAGATGTATCATATCTATAGAAAACCCCATTATCTTCAATACATTTTTAATCACACACTTACTTATCTATGATTCTACATAGGCTCTATGATATTATGTTGTACATTTTTAATCAGTCCCACATAAACATTAAGACAATCATTAATAAACTTGTAGGTGTAAAAAAAAAAAAACAATTATTCCTTAAAAGTAGTTTGGAACTTTTAATACAGAGTAGAACATTTAAAAACCATAAGTGAGTTTCTCATAAAAAAATTTTAACTTATGAATCAATATAAATGTAATATGTGATACATTATATAATATGTTTTTGTGTTCATATTTACAATAATTGATTTAATAGAAAAGTTTATTTGGAAATACAACATAGGTAAGTAAACAGTTAATAAATGTTTATTAAACTATGTAACAAACCTTTTTATAACAATAATATTTAAGAGAATAATAAATTATTAATACTTATAGTACATTGTTAACGGTCACATGTGAAACCACACTTATTGGATAGTTATAAATATTATTATCTAAATAAATATTTAAGTTATTTTACATTCTAGAATGAATATTTTTAATAAAAAAAATAGTATTAAATCAAAAAATTTAATTTAATTTTCCTCTCATTATTTGTTAGTAGACATTTCAATATTTAAAAATGTTATAAGAATAAATTCACATTATGAATGACTAGAAATTGTAAGCTGAATTTACTCAAAGAATAATAACAGTAATATAATATCAAAAACATTGAAGCTTGTAGATCACATAAAAATGTATTTAAATTTAATAAATAGTTGTTTTGTTCAAATATATATATATATAAGTTTAATGTATTATACACAGTAGATATCTATAGAAAAAATCATTTAAAATCTATTGTATTAAAAAAAAAATTTTGCAACATTGGACATAATACATTTTGGCACAGTTTCATTCTCTATGACAATTTAATTAACATTTATTTTAGGTTTCTCCTACGTTTCTTATCTGTACTATCATTTGAATCAGTCAATGATTTTTTTGAAATACCAGTTTTTTTATTAGATTCGACAGAACTGCTATCATTTCGTAACCTTTTTACAGCATGACTGACGCGTTTACTCATACCAGTATTTGTACTGCTCAATTTAGGAAGAGTTTTGACAAATGAATCCAATGTTGTTTGGGTCTAAAGCAAAAACAATTGCAAATATTAAATAAAAGATAACATTTTTAAATGTAAAATTCATAATAAAAGAAATTACAATGTTTAGGTAAATCTTATACAATATAAATACAGTATATTCTTATTATGAAAAATGTTGCTATCTCAATAAAATTCCCTTGAAGCTGTTATTACATTCAATAGAGCTTTACTCTGGATAAATCGATAAAAAAATCATCGTTTTTCATAAGCTTGAAGAAATAATGACACTGTTAGTCGATAATATCGATAACAATGAATCATTTTCTATGAACATATTCGAAATCAGAATGTTTAATTTAATTCAGAGAAGTGTAACACCAGTAAATCACAGAATATATTTAAATTGCTTCATAAAAACCGGTTTTATTAAAGACTGTGATATAATTCCAATAAATAACTCAAATATTCCTGATAATAAATAGAATTTTGTTGTTGATCAAATACATTTTTTTATTATTATTAGTATATCAAGTATTCAAATTAATTACAAATTGTTTAATAAGTCTTTATATCGCAAACTTTTTCCTTTTCCCTTGAGATTTGACATAACAGGAGGTCACTGTAATAAGAATATTTAATTAACTTACTGTCCGTTCAGAAACTTTTTTTAACACTGGCGCTAATTTGCTTTTTGTTTTAGAAGCATCCCAATCAAAATTAGTTTGAGCAAATTGAATGATTGAGTCCACTTGGAGTGTACCCCAATTAAAGCTTTCATTTGATTCATTTACAATTGGGTGGAGATATGCATTAATAACAGCTTTATTCGGAAAATCTAAATTTTTGATTACAAATTAAAACATTTAATTTTAGTACAATTATAACTTAATAATAATATTAAACATATGGATTTACCATTGCCAATTTTGGTCGACTTTAATTTTTTCATAAATGGTATATCACAATATACTTCAGCTTTTGAGTTAACAATCTCTTTAATTTTTAGTAATTTTTCTTCAATGTTCATATTTTTAGTCTTAGATTCAAAAAAAGATAAAATTTCAATAGCAGATACTGGACCAATACCATCAATACCATTTGTGTAGTCACTTCCCACAAGAAATGCTAATTGAATAAAACTATTTCGAGACAAAGCTAAAATAAATTAAAACACATTTAAGTATATATTTTATACTGCAAAATGCATATTATACACAAAGACATAATAGGTACCAAATTGTTGTTTAATATCGATGCTTTTGAATTGTTTAACATATTTTTGGTTGTCAAAAAAATCTTTATAAACCACATTAGCCCCGAACAACCACACATCACTATCATCTGTCACAGTACCTTCTGTTCTTCCAATTTTTTCTAAGAAAGCACATTGTGCTTCTGCTTCCATTGGTGCTGTTATATATGGTATGCCAAACAACTTCAAGAGACCCTACACATATAAAGATTTATTTATTAATAATTTTTTTAAATTTTTATTTGTATAATGTATTTTATGTGGTAATAGATGACGATCAAAACCAATGATGCACCGATTTCAGTATTACAAGGTATAAAATATTGGAGTCAGTATAATAATAATAATAATAATAATAATAAAATAAAAATAACATTCCATTATTTTATAAATTGCTAAAACCAAACATATGAATATAAAATATTTCATAAGGTGTTAACCATAAAAAAAAATATAAACAAAATTCTACAATTTGTATAGTGAACTTAAGTTTAAAATAAACTTAAAATATACTTTACTTTTAAATAATTGGAATATTTTTATAAGTAGAATATTGTAATTGATACTTAAAAAAAAATAACAATATTGTTAATTTATTAGATTATTTGTTTAACGAACATAATACAATTGGTACAAATAATCAAGGCTGGGCATTAACAAGTTAAAAAGTTAATTTACTTTTAACAAAGTTAAATAAAGAGTTAGTTTTTTTTTAGAAGTTAAAAGTTGGCCCATAGGTGCAAATAATGCAAACCCGTATTAGCGTAGTTCAAAGTATTTACTATTTACCTAGTTAAATAAATGAACAATTTATTTAAAAATACTGTGGGATGCGAGTTAACTTTTATTTTTAAATAAGCTACCCGATAAGTTCAGGCCGTAACAAGCAGAAAACAAAGTTTGGAATTCTCTTTCAAAGACTATGTAGGTACTACATGTCTATGTATAGATTTTAATAATGGACATAAAGTAATAAACAAATAGTCTGTTGACTGTGTCACGAGTCGTTAAAAATTATTTTTCACAATTTTGTTTTTATATTGTTTTTATTCTGTGGAGCTATGAGCTGTTTAACCCATTAGTTATATTTTAATAATGAATTGTATTATAATATTTAGTGTAGTGTTGACTTTTCGACCATTACGTACCTAAAGAAATATATAAAAATTATTTAATTATTTTGTTGGATATCGTCATTTATTAAAGTATAAGTGCATACAGTATTTAATTTTAATACCTACATTATTTTATTGATAACCATGTTATTTGTTAGCTTTAAAAAAAGCTAGGTAGGTATATTTATTCATTTTATATGCAAAAAGGTACCTGATTTTTAACTAAATTAAGTTACTTTTATTTTCTAATCAACTTGTAACTTTTTTAAAAAAAAAAACAAGATAAGTTTTAACTTTAAACCTAATTTATATTTTTCTATATTAACTTAACTTAACGAATTAAAAAAAAAAATAGTTTATTTGCCCAGCCTTACAAATAATAAGATGATAATATAATTATATTTATGATTGACATATTATATTATAAAGTAAAAACAACAATATTCTAAAAGGTCAAAAAAATATTATATTTTGTTTTTAATTTTAGTTAATTCTAAAAATATCAAGCATTTCTTTAATCAATTTGTTATAAAAAAAAATTAGTCATTCGTAATAACTGACAAATATTACCTTTATTTCTGAAGTAATTTTTTGTGTTACAGAAGAAGCCATTCGATCAGATGTTCTTTGTAAACTAGACAAATCATTTTGACGCTTAACTAATGTATCCTAAAAACACCAATTATTAATTATTTTTTTTGTATATTAAAATGTAATATAGTACTTGTATGGACTGAAAATATTGTTCATTCATAGAATTTGTTTGATTGTCAGGAGGTTCGGGCCGTTTTGTAGATATTTTATTTAATTTTGTTGGAGAATTAAATTTTTCTCTTATTACTAATTATAAAACATAAATTATTAAATATGTAAATGTAGAAATAATATAGTAAAATATTGGACAGTTTTATAATATAGGAAAATAAATTATGAATCATAATTTTAAATACAATTATTGTTACCATTTTTTGTTGAATTTATTTCTTTGAATTCATTTTTAGCAACTATTGGAACATCTGACTCTTTTTTAGAACATTTATTGACTTTTTGTTTGTTTTGATTCTCTAAAATAGTTCAAATATAAGTCAGTAAATTAATTGTAAAAAATAAATGGCATTAAGAAAATATTTTCAAAATCATAGCTATACAAATAAAAATTCTTTTCTTGTATAAACGGAATTAAACAAACTTATCTAAGCCTTAAAAAATTGTGTAAAATCCACATTTAACATATCCGTAAATTATTATTAATTTAACTTAAATGTGTGTATACTTATATATATGTAAGGGTGATATATTCACCAACATTTCTGGTGAATATCAATTTATTTATAGATGTAGACATTCAATGGTGAATATTAACATGCACTTTCTGTTTTTGGTGAATGTTGACATTTCGTAAAACAAGGTGAATAAACTCAAAAAGGAAATTGTACATTAAAGGATCACACAACACAAAAAAAACGTTCTTTAAATTTTTTTAAATGTTATATTATTGTAGCTGTTGCTATATGAATTGATTTGGTGAAAAACTGATGTAAAAAAAATTATTACTCTAAGGGCCGTTCTTACAATGTCCAGTTAAAGTTAACGGACACTTAACCGGCAACATTTTGCTGGTAATAAAATCTGTTATCAGCCAGTTAGCGTTAACCGACACTTAAACGGACATCGTAAGGAATAGCCCTTATTAAGAAATGTGGAATAGCCGTATGATGTCATTGGGCCGGCTCATCGTAATTACCTAATTTATATTTGTGAAACTTTCTTGACTCACACAACAATTTTTTGATTCAAAAATTTTATTTTTAAATTTGGTTTACGTATAAATGTGTGATTTTATGTGTTTAACCCGATAAAAGTATCAGAATTTCAATACATATAATGTTTATTTTTTTAAATATTAATAAATCTTATAATGATCATTTTGTTAAAAGCATCATGGCCATTTAAATATAAAATACAAATACAAAAATATCTCTTTAAAGATTTTTAATATTAAAAGAATTAAAAGTTATAATGAAATTCTGATACTTTTATTATAACACATAATACCATACATTTATATGTAAATAACATTTTTAGGTTGGTAAATCGTTGAGTGAAGCAAGGGTCTTTTACAGGTATAGGATAGGCAATTACAATGAGCCGGGCCCAATGACGCCAAGCGTGTTTTTCCAATTTCTCATTTCACTTATTGAATAATGTGAGAGGAAACATAAAACCTATACCATTATTCTTAGACTTGAACAAATTAAAAATACTTATACTTATACTTATACTTATTTTTTGTGTTTTGTGCTCCTTTAATAAAAACTCAAAAGATTATACATTTATATCAAACTGTCTTAAACTAAACGGTCATCTAGATGAATGTAGCATTCTTTCAGCTGGTTACTTTTTGTGCCTGCTTTATTTTAATCATTAAGTTTTTAACGTTAGGTCAGGTTAGGTACTATTATATACTAAATTATAGTTTATACTAGCTAATCTCTCACGTGTCTCTCTAACCTTCATATGGATAAACATAGATAAGCACCAACTGATAATTATCATGATTTAATATAAAAATAAATCAATATTAAATAAATTCATTATTATCTTAATGAAAATCAAAGTTACTTATTCTAACATTCACTAAAACTCAATTGTGAATGTCAACACTCACCGATATTCACCAGTCACTGTTGGTATATTTTTAATATTCATTAAAAATTCTGACATTCACCTTAACATATATTATATTATATTATGACTTTTTTCCAGTGGGACCCTGCTTAGGCTTAACTTAAAAATATATATTTACAAAATATTATTGTAAGTTGTAAAACTTAATAAATCCGTTTTAATTATTGTTAACAGTATTTTCATAAAAATTTAAACAAACCTTGTAATATTATATTATCATCTTCAGATAAACTTTCCTCAGGTGAAAAATTAACAGAATTTTCAGAAAGAGAGCCGTTTGAATTATCAGATTCTATTGAGGATGAAACATTACTAGATGTGTTAAATTCTTGTGTTTTCATAGATTTTGATATAAAATATATTGACTCATTAATATTTTGCTGATCCACAATATTATTTTTTTTATTGGATACATTATCTTCATTTCCTAGAAATGATGGAGATTTGCTTGTAGATGGAATATCATGATGATTAATACTTGGATTCTTGTTTTCTAATTTTGTCTGACTAGGTTCATCTAATATTAAATAAAATTAAAAACAAACAAAATTAAGCTTAGTAATTATAATTAACTAACAGTGTATAATTTTAGTATGATGACGTAGTCATTTAAATATTAAATTTTAAATTATGTTTTATTTAATGTAATTTCTTGGTGAGAATCTGAATGTATTAAATAAGTCTGTCTTATAATCACGGGGAATGTTGAGATAAAACTTGTCTTGAAACGGGGACCCTTAAATTAAAATTATAAATTAATAAATCAAAATACATTATGTGTACCTTTACTATGTGACACCCATGACAGATAATCTTCTTCATTAAAACTATCTCCATCTTCATTAGACATATTATCTTCTGTAATAAAAATACTTCTGGAAGAATATTTTTTGGACGATACTTTGTTATTTTTCATAGTTACATCTTCTTCCATGTCTGATGTTAATACTTCGGAACTGCTACTAAAACCTGTATCAGGTTTAGGACTTTTTATATTTGGTGACTCAAATTCACCTACAACAATTAATTCCGAATTGAAAATGTAGTTGTATTTTTAATAGTATTAATTTATAAAGGATTACTTGATCGTCTTTTACTAGCTATTTTATTTTCATTGAAGATAAGCCAAGCTAATCTATCTTCTTCGAGGGATTCATCACCAGCTAGTGCTTTAAATATATCTTCATCAATGTCTATAAAATCAATATATTTAATAATTAATATACATAATATACTCCACGAGTGTACAATTTCTATAACATATCATAACAATTTAGCTTAAGAGGATGTCAGAGCACTATTTTTTTCTGTGACCTACCCTCAACATAGCAAATTTACATTTAGTAGAACCAAACCTGTGTTATTACTTTTAATATTAGAGTGAATTGACCAATTATTAAACTTGAAGTTAAGAGGGTCCAAACACGGCCATTTGTTGTCTCTGTCATACAAACGTACAACAGGTCAAATTTTACATTGACAATAACGCATTTTACTCTGTAATTTCTAAAATTATAGTAAATTTACATCTTATAACATTTAAAGGCAAGAATATTTTATAGGGCATCTCTATAGTGTTTAATTAATATTATTATTTTTCAGTATTTTATCATAATTTTAAAATGTACAAAAAATGTAGCTTAAAAATGGTCATAACTTGCCTCTTAATAAAAATATCAATAAAGCCCTCAGAGATGCCTTAGGGATTCAGAAACTTTTTTGGCTCGCTATTTGAACCAAGGTTTTCCCGGGGAGCCCTTTCCCAAGTCATATCATGACTAATCATAAAAATAGAAAAATTAAATAAAAACCAGTAAAAATTGTAATGGGTAATACGAAAGTAATTGTAATTGTCCGTCCCCGTCATCGTTAGGTTTTCAAATTTATTTTTGAACCATATAAAATTCAACTGAGGCGATCCTGTAAAGTAACCAAGACGCCACGGTGCACACTTTGGGATCTGCTGCATTAGATAGTAATCTTACCTTTAAATTTTGTAAGTGGTAAATTCATGTTAATTTTAGAGATTACAGAGTAAAATTTGTTGTTAACAACATTCTGCTACACATAAATTTTCTTTATTGCCGAGAAAAAACAAAGGGTCGCTGATATCCTCTTAAGAAAATGGGGATGTGTAATTTCCATTTGACAAATGTATAACATGGTAGAATCAATTTTGTGTCGTTAGTTTTAAAATTATAGTAGATTTACAATTATTACATTTTAAAGTAAGAATATTATGTGTGTTTTTATGTTTTTTCTTTATTTTTATTTCAAATCAGAATATTTAACATTTTTTAATACTTATAACTTTGTTTAAATTAAAGTATAAAACTCACAACTCAAGATAGTTTCTACTGAATGCAAATTTGCTATACTGTAATATAAATATTAATTTTGCAATGAAAACACCATTATAAAAAATTTAAATGCAGACCGTCTGTTAAAGTAGGTGATCCAATGGTATCAGTAGTAAAAATCTTTTGGCTTGTACTCTTCGATTCAGTTTCAACACTTTTTTCAAAACTTGAAGTTTTTATCTTTTTAGGAATTTCAATATTCTCTGAATTACTACTTTTGGCTGATTTGTTGATACCTATATTAACCAAAAATTATATTACAATATAGTATCTTGAATTATAGTTTATCATTGATTAATGTTTATAGTTAAGAGATTCTCCATGTTAATATTGGATAACCCTCACATTTTGGAGTATTTTCAGTTTTTATCGGATAATGGAACAGTGATGACCCCACTGCTGATTTACAGCCTTATTTGATAGCATTAATTGGATACCGTTAACTGAGAAACTCTCTGAAAGAGAAAAATTAATTCTATTGAAATTTCAATCATCTTAAGATGGTTATGAAATTATGAAATGTGGCTAAAGTAACATCAGGTTTTACTCAAAACTAGAACTTCTATTGTTGAAAATACCTTAGTAATAAGCCTATACATGAAAATTTCAAGAATAAATATATTTAATACAGTATAAGATACAAAAAATTATTGTCAATCCAATCTATATTAATATCAACAAGCAATAGGGTTAATAAAAAAAATTGATGTAAGTATATTTTACTTCTTCATTATTATAGTTTATAGCTACAGTTGTGTAATGCTATATTGATTGGAAAGATACTCATTTTATTATTTTTTTTTTAGGAGATATAAAAGTGGGTCAAAAGGGTTTTTATTTTAACTAAAGCTAATTATCCCAGTTTTTAATTTGACATTTGTATATTTATAAAATTCTACATTTAATCCCTTCATATAATCTACTGTTATAGTCACATACCAGACTCGTAATAAAAAACAGTATCATGATCAGAATTAATTTTTTGACTGAATTCATCAATGTTTTTAATAGTTTCACTGTCATTGTTCAAAAACATTTCTAATTCATTAAATGTCATTTCACGCTTTAATTTTTGTTGATTTTTTTTTTCTGATAAACGTTTTTGATCTTCTGAAAACCCATTTAAAAGTTCCCCAATTTGCATAGAAGAAAATGCCTGAAATCAAATGTTGGTATGTAAAACTGTATACAATAGTGTTGTTTTTATATATGATTAGAACTTTCAATATGTGTATAATATTGTACATACATTTAATTTCTTAGGAGAACTTTTTTCCTTGTCCTTCGCGATGTTCGTGTACAAAAAATCATTGTTTTGATTTTCTACTGCTAATAGTAGAATATTTTCATTTTTTTCATTTGCCAAATTCAAGTATGACCGATCTTTTTCATTTATAGGTATTTTAGTCTTGTCTATTTTACTATAAAACAAATTTTAAAAACGTTATATCAATTTAAAAATAATAATAAATAGTTATACACTTAAGAACCAAATTACTCTATATATTTAATAAATTATAGATAAAAATCAATTTACATAGGTTCTGGCAATTTTGGCAGCTCAAACAAATCAATTTCTGCTCCTTTATTCAAACTGTCAACAGTTTTTGAGATCACTTCATCTTCAGTCAATGCATTTCCAGCATTCATAACAGTTTTTAAAGCTGCCTGTTCTAACATGTTTTTTAATAATTTTTCTTTGGTTTTTCCAGTTGATTTTTTGGCACGGTTTTTTTGAGCTTGTCTTTGAGCCTAAAATGAATATTTACAAACAAATGAATGCTACTTACTTAAGTAACAATTAAGATAACTATTACAAACACATATTTAAAAAAGTAGGTATCCTTATAAAAATAGCCGAACAAAAATGGAAAATAACCAAATACCTAAAGAAGATGTCAGCCACAATATTTACTATCTCTCTGTGACCTATAAGCAATTTAAAAAATTTGCATTGTTAGTTATATTATTAGAGTAGATTGACCTACTACCACACTTAAAGTGAGGAACATTATCTGTGTCTTCATAATATTTAAATTTGTATGTAAGTAAGAAGAGTATTTTCATGCAAGTTGGATTTTTTCTGAATATCCTAAAACAATGCTATCTAAGCAAATATACGTTTCATACCTATCAGTGATGCAGCCCCTTATATAATCAAGGCAGGGAAAAATATTTAAAACGTTCTATTCAAAAATGGAACACATAATATGTTTGGCAAATACCTTACAGAAATACGAAACAAATTTTCAAAAATAAATGCATTAATATCAAATGTAAAAAATATTTTTTTTTTAAATGCCCATCTTTTAGTATAAAAATTCAAATAAATGGAACCAGGAATATAAATGCCCCTCAATTAATTCTAACTAGGTGGGGTACTGGGTAAGTAAATTATTATCATTCAAAAATCTTTATATATTGCCAAAAAATTTAAATACTGTAAAACAACTAACAAACAAACACAAAATTTGAATATAATTTAATTATATTCTTTACATCAAACTCGATATAAGTCAATTTACTTCAACCATAAAGCTAATAACGAAAGATTGATTCTGCAAAACACAAATTCTTCGGGGTTCGGAGAGAGAAAACAAATAGTGCATGAACATCTTCTTAAAGTATTATATTATACAAGAGCTCATTTAAACTAAGAAAACATAAATTTAAAATAGAATAACACAAATAATATCTATTTTATATTATTATAATATTAAACTAATAAAGAAACTCCTGTGTTGTATACATTTATAACAGATCTATTTGTAAATAACTAAAAAAGTAAGGTAAAACTAAAATGTATTTATTCCATAAATAGGTACCTACTTGCAAAAGTACTAAAACATGTTACATTAATCATTAATTTAGCATGAATAAATGAATAAATTTTTATGTATCATTAACCAGAAATATTCCAAAGAGAAAATAATATTATAAGGTAATTACTACAATTGTATTATATGTACAATTTTCATAATATACATTGATATTTCTATATTACAGTCTCATACAAAATATAAAATTGTATTATTTTGGGTGTTTATTTTATCTTTGAACATTTGGGGCACTCATTCTTTCAAAAATTATAAGAATTGTATATGGCTTTTAGTCATTAAAAAATAATATTTTTAAATATAATTAAATTTCAACATTTGTTTAAATTTTTACTTTTTTGAATGACAACATATGGTAATTATAATTTCTTATTCAAAAGCAGAACATTTTTCAAAGTATTTCGATATATGAAAGTTGAATTTAGTAAGGGTAGTTATGAATTATAACTTTATAACTATTTAAAGTTTAGATGACTTATATTGGTTACATTTAGTGGGGTAACTATGTACCACTCCACTCCGATAATCAAAACTTTAAATATTTATTTCCTATAAGCTACTTGTCCTAAATTTGATTTTTATGAAATGAAACACTTAGAAAAATATTCTGTTTTGGAATATGAAATTATAACTGTGTTTTGCCCTTCAAAAAAGAAAAAAACCTTTAAAGTATTACAATATAAATATATTTTTTTTAAATATTGTTTTGGAACAACTGGAATGTAAAAAAATGTTTTCTGATTTTTCCACATTTATACTTTTTGAAATAATGAGTGTTCTATGATAAAAGAATCGCCTAGGAGAGAAATTGGTTAAACAGGAATAAATACATTTGATTCTAAAAAATATTTTGTTAAATAGAAGTTTTACTGTATTATATTAATGCTCAACTATCATGATATAATCAATAACTCTTGTCTGATAAAGCTTTTACTTACCAGGATACATGTAAAAATTATTTGGTTTTAAAATATTTTTTTTTTGTATAATTTATTATTTTATTTATTTTATTTTATTAACCAATAACATTTTATACCTTAGATATATTTACTTTAAACTATAATAAATAAATTCTAACATTGTGTAATAACAGTATATTATTACATAGCTACTTATATTAATTATATACATATATAAACTATGTATGTACTCTATACAATTATAATAGTGTAATACTTAGTTACTTTTAATTATTATAAAATAATTAAATATATAATATAATGATGAATAATTATGTATGATATTGTAACAATTACTACAGTTGGAAATATGTGTACCTACACAACTTGTGATTCATAGAAAAAAAATATTTTTTAAGTTTTATTTCTAGTATACATTATATTAAAGCAAGTATGAATAGGGAAAATTATTGACATTTCCACTAGTTTTGATTCTAATCAGATGGTTTTTTACAAATTGTATTGTATTTAAGTAGCACACTCATGAAAACAATGCCAAAGCTGATGCATGGTAATTAAGGACTAATTATAGCTAAAATAAATTACTATGCATTTCAAACAGTTATTAGTCAAGAAAATGTATTTTTGTTCCCACAGAATCTGTAACAACAAGTTAACATATAACAATTTTCCCATGGATTCTCAAAAATGATTGTGGTTGTCAAAACTAAAAACAGAAACAACCAATGATATCTATTCTAGTTTTATTTAATACCTAACTGTTAAATAACTCGAAAATAATGTGAGAAAATAATAGTACTTGATGCATTTTTATTATTTTATCACAAATACTCTAAAATAATATCACAATAACATAATTTAACTATTTAAATTAAATAGAATATTTTTAATTATATTTGACTCTATGAATATAAATAATATAAACAGAAGAATATAGTAATATTTGCCATTCAAAATCAAACAATATAGTAAATTGTTAATACTACCCAACGTAACCTATTTTAGAAAACTAGGATCAATTAATTTTTAAATTGTATGTTTATTTTGATTAAAACTATCAAAAATATTTATAATAATTGAATTTTTAAATATAAAATTAGTTATAATATATTATACTACTTCTAATAAAAATGAATTTTTAAAATTGTCTTTAACATTTTTAAATATACAATTAATTTGTTATGCTAGCTAGTGGGAATACATATATTCAATTTCTATAGCCTACTTCATTCAAAAAATCTTTTAAGATCAATAAACTATATGTGTACACATAGGTAATTAAAATTCAAATTATATACTTACGATAGTTATTTTTTTAAGCTCTGGTACACCGCCATCAAATACAAATATTGGTTTAATACCATAGAACAATAATTTACATATTCTATGAAACATTACAATTAAATGTCCATTTGTTGTAGCGCCATGTTCACTTTCTTGAACACCTTTAATTATTTGGTACATCCATATTGAAACATCTGTTTGATAATATAATTAAGGAAATTCATTTAATTGCCATATTTTTATTACTTTTCAACATAGCACAAATATATTTCATAAACTAATTACAATTTTTAAAAATAGAATAATTTAACAAACAATGACTTTTATTTATTTTCCATGTTATATCTACATTGTTGTGCTTTCAATCAGGTACCAAAGAAAAACAAAAACGCATCTATACTATAGTATAGTAACTTTTGTAATAACACTTAAATTGAGTAAAAAAAATAAATAAAATTTTCACTATATAAGAATGTAGCAAAAAAAAAAAATAGTTTACATTTGTATGAACCCATGTTACTTTGATGAATGTCTAATTTATTTTAATATAATATATATATATTTATAAAATCTTAATAGAATCAAAAATTTGATTATAAAATTTAATTATAGATTCGTGTGAAAATTAAGTAGGTATTTAATTTATTAAAATTAATTAAATATATTTTTATCATACCTAACTTTTATATATTTACTCTTCTTTTACTATAGAAATATTTACATATTCAGAATATATTACATAATTGGGTAAAATAATAATACACAGATATTTTCAACTTTAATTGCATATGCTTTCTGTAATATTCAATTACTAAAAATATTAAAATGAATTACTTCAAAAATGTTTTAAATGTACTAATACTAAATAATAATAGAATAGATTTCTTGAAATTGTTATTAAAAGATTATTAAATCACTTAAATCATACTATTTGTTTTAAAAAGTATTTTAAATTGTTTTATACCTCATAGGTCATTAGTTACAAAAAAAAATGATTAAATTTGAAAATTTGTGAAAGTTATAAGGATAAAGTGTTTCATTTTTTCTTTTTTAATTACACGAATACATACAATCTTCTTCTGAATTCCCATAATTATTTATTGTACACATAATAATTGTATAATTCCTTTATTTTTAACCAACAATACATCTTTGTTAAGACCATGTGAAAATGAAAATTTGAATGTACTTTAGAGCATATTAAATATCAAGTCAATAACAACTGAAAGGGAAGGGCTTTCACATCTAAAATTATATATAGCAAGAAACTATTAATTATATTTTAATCAATACAAAGAATGTTAAGGGTATATTATTATACTATCCTGAAAATAACTTTAATCTAAATTATTATTTATTTATTTATAGGTAATAGTGTATTAAATTATAAAATAACTGCATTGTGTAAAATTGTAACAAAATAATTCATTTTAAAAATTAATAGTAGTTCATAATAAATAAACAGCAATAACAATATTTTATATTAAGACTTCAGATGAAAATTTCAAAATAGAGAACTAATTAATTTTTTTTAATCTATCTAAAATGCATAATATTCCTATGAACATTTTATAATAAACTTATAAGTAGGTACAAATAAATATTTTATTATTAAGTTATGTGCCTATAACAATTTACTGTTGGTCTTTTTGTTATACATTTCAACAAAATCATAATAATGAATACCTAAATAATTGATTATTTTTTAATAATTTTAAAATTAATTGCGTAGATTTTTTACTCTAATCACAAAATTGTATATATTACTAATATTGGATGATATAAAACTCATAACAAGACTATAATAATTATATTTTAAGTCATAAACTTATCAACACTGTTGTCAACTAGGCAATTTAAACTAAATTTAAAAATGAGGTATAATTTGATGAAATTGAAAAAAAAAATAGTTCATTTATATAATATATACAAATTATAAATCAAGAATAACAGATACGTTGCTTAGATGTTTTGAAAAAAAATAACTAATACTTATTTAATATTAAAATTATTTTAACTATCACATACTTAAATTTCCGAGTTAACTGAACTAAATTAAGTATTTAATATAATAAAACAATATTTTCAAATCATAAGAATTTCTCAAAATATATTTTTTTTTTTATAACTTAGTCTTAAATAATAACTAATCAGGCTTCATATTATGATATAACAAATATTTGTTTATTTATAATTTGTAAAGAATTTATTATCTACCTATTACTATAAATAAAAGATTTTAAATTCTAAGAATTTCAGAGAATATATTATTATAATCAAGCAGGGGCGTCATTTCAGGTTTTTTTTCGGGTGTGCGAGGTTTCAAGCAGGCCATTTTGAAATTTCAGTATAAAAATAGATATACATACGTATATGTACATTATCCTGTTTTCAATTATGTCCATGCATTATGGAGTATGGACCGAATCAATTCGGAATCATTGCATCAAAATAAATAGTAAATATCAATTAAGAAACTAAAATATGATAAATAATGAATTACCTTAACAGTGAAAACCAATAACAATTGATGCATAAAAAGCTAGAAGAATTAATGCAGCAGCAAATAAAAAAGGACTTAATGAATTGTTGTTTATTTTCATAATTATTATAATTTTGGAAAAAGCAAAGCGCTAGAAAAAAATATTTTAAATTTAAATGAGCGGATATCGTCGATTTTTTAGTTTAGTGAATTTATCTACAGATTCTTCTAAATTTATATTGTTAACTTCTTTTTTTCAACATTAAGTACCATCCAATCACTTAGCCTTTCATCACCCATGGTAATGCGTAAATATGACTTAACTCTTTTAAGTAATGAAAAAAACCTTTTATTTGATGCCTTTGTAATTGGTAAAGTTTTTACCAATGAAATGATTTTTAAAGTTTCAACAAAAGCGATAGGAAAATCTTCTAGGCATATTGCTATGGTGTCCAAATCAACATCATGTTTCTCATTAAATAGTGCTTTTACTGATGGAAACTCAGAAGAAATTTGAATTTCATTAAAGTTAATATAACTATAAAGGTTTATAAATAATTTTAAATAAAGACTATCGGGATTAAAAAAATTGGGACTAGAAAAGTCAAACATTTCAAATAACTTAAACAAGTTATTGATTGGTTCTGAAAATCTTTCATTAAGTTGTCAATATAAAAATTAAAATACAATTTAATTTTAATCATATTAATAATTGTGCATTCGTGGCTCGTGCATTATTTTGGGCTTCAGCGGGGCGCAGGCCAATTGGAACCATTTTAAAATTAAGGGGTGCTACCGCACACCCTGACCCCCCCCCCCCGCAAATGACGCCCCTGTAATCAAGTAAAATTTGAGTTTAAATGAAAGTTTAATCATAATTAAAAAAAAATTCTTTTTAAGTTATTAGAAGACTTAATCAATAGATAAAGATTAATAGGTGATAGTTATAATTATACTCTGTCCAGCGAGAGAACACGCTGATTTTGTGCATCCCCAAGCGACATACTGCCAAAGACTGGTTTTACAATGGCAGGTTATCACGAGGGGATGTACAGAAGAAACAATTTTTGTATGGCACTCTGATCAATTGCAACAGTTAATTTTCAGATACAATCTATCTTCTGCTAATTAATACCCATTCTAATATCCGATAACAATTTATAACATTCTTTTACCTAAAAATAATCAAGCAAAATCAAATAATTGTCAATATAATATTAAAAAATACAAACTACCTAACAACAATTTTTATAAATTGTATTTTATCAATAATAAATAATAGTAAAGTCACAGAGGCGGTAGGTGCTATTACTTACTGTTAAATAAACAGCTTATTATGTGTTAATTATTGGTTTTATTTTTTTAAACTTATTTACATCAGTCACATTGAACAAATTACAATTTTTAATTTTAAAAAGTAGTTGATACCACTCAACAAAAGTTGCTAAATAATATTTAACTTTTAAATCTACTTCAATGTATGCCAGTAGATTCTATGTACATGGGAGCAAGGCCCCCCCTCCAAACTCTAAAAAAAAAAAAGAGGCTTGGGAAAAATATTATAAGTATACTTTACATATTATATAATATTAATAATACTATATTATTTAACATAAAATTATTCTTATTACACATTTTCTATATTAGACGTAATGTTTTGTAAAATTGATATTGGTTTTCGGTAAATTCTATTTATATTTCTATAATTTCTAATTGTGACAACGGAGTAGACTATTCACGTTATCGTCATAACCGCACATACTGCATTGTACTACATTGACTATATCTATTGTTACAATATTGAATATAATATAATATAACATTATAATTTTTTTACTGAATACGGACAGCGTTCAACATGCAACAAGAAAAGCGTAAAAATGAACGTATTTGTATTTTGATTTTTAATACGCTGCCACTGATTTGAATTAAAAAGCAACTTTTGTACATTTTTAATAATACTTTTTAGGATTAAGAAGGAACAATTTTACAGTTTTTCTATTATTAAATTCTCATATTACGATCAATACCTATTTACAATTTTGTTTTAATAATATAAAATAAAATAAAATAATAATAAGACAAAGAAAATTATTTTAAATGATATTAACATTGTAAACAATGATAATTTCTATTGATATTATTTGATCCCCCCCCTCCCCCATAAATCTATTCTGGATAGCGCCTGTCTACATGTAAGTACTAGAATTGACTTCACATAAGCTGACAACTATAAGCCATAGAAAATTACAATAATACATAGAATATTAAAAAATATTATCTTTTACAGTTAAATCTTTAATTGCATTTAGAAAAATTACGACAACTCCAGATCATGAAGATAGATTAAGGTGATCCGGATTTGAATCAATAATTAGAGCACACCAATTAGGTAGGTATCTACTATCGCTTAAACAAAATATAAAGTATACGAAGACTTGATAATATGTGGTTTTGAAATATACCATATGGAAATAATCAAACATACATAAGGTATTGTATTGGAAGTTAAACTATTTTAATGTGTATAATAATAAGACAATTTAAGTTAACTTGATTGAAAGTAAATCAACCAATTCTCAAAGTATTTAATACATAGGTAGGTAACACAAACTGTACAACTTACCTACTTAATTAGTTTTAATTATTATTCCTGGAGGCGTACAAATGTTTTACTGAAGTCAAATCAATACCTGTATGGTGTTTCAACTGTTGTATTAAAACAGACTAATCGTTATATTATAAATATTATGACCAATTAAAATTATAATTGTTTAATAAAAGGATACCGATACTCAGCACTTTATTCTCCAACTTTTCAACGGGAATCGGTTTTCCAGCAGATTCCAATAATTTCCATAGGCCTTGGACACCCATAATGTATTAATTAAAAAAATTGGAAGACTAAAATACTTTTAAACGTTATGGCGTTATGAAGAAAAAAAAACATTTCGGTCGGTGCCATTCATAATCCACAAACTATTGTACACAATAATATCAAGTGGTATCTACTCGGTCTGTTTAGATAACACAACATACAATATTATTATGATAACGATGTATACGATAACGTGGTATCGGTAGGAGTTTGTCCGATTACAGCATCAATGTAATATTATTATCTGTTATCACTGACTAGTGACTGGTGACTACTGAAGGTAAATTACGAATTGAGACCGGTCGAGAAGACTTGAAGATATTTGAAGTTATTACAATATTTAATGTCATTCGTCTTTTCAGATTCTGAGCGTATCGTAGGTACCTATAATTATGGGTCTTACAATTATGTGCGTTTTTTTCTGTCTGTCGTCAACTTTTGTGGTCAGGGCCGTCCCTAGGGCAGGGCGAGCGGAGCCCTCGCCCTGGGCCCCGCGCCTTCACCAGTTGGACAGGCCCCGCTTTTGTAGATACCATAAAAAAGCCAAGTTAATGAGAAAAAAAATTATTATTTATATATTTTTATATCTTCAATTGCTGTAATTTTTACTACCTATACCTACGGCTATACCTACTTATATTAATTGACATCAGTCGTCAAATAAATGTATTGCATTTAAAACGAGTTAATATGATTAAAATTAAATTTTCAAAGTTGAAAATGATAAAAATCTTCAAAGCGCTCTGTCCCCCCCAAAAAACAACAACTTAGCTATAATATTTATAGAAAAAAAATGCTTAGAAAAAATGTATTGATTTTACAATGATGTGTGTTTTTTTTCTGCTTTGTATGGAGCTTTTTGGGTAGTAAAAGTGCTCAGATTTTCTAGATCAGCATCTTTACTGGTAGAAAAGTGAAACTAGTTGGTATTTTTGGGAAGTCAAAATTAAAAATTTCTAGTAGTTTTAGAAAGCGTTGAGAAAAACAAAAAAAATAGGTGACTTTTATACAAAACCAATTTTTGAAAAATCGAATTTATTTTTTTGGTGTATCTCAAAAATGCATAACTGTAGAACCTTGAAATTTTCAACAAATATTTATATTAGAATTTTCCATAAAACATTTTCTCAATATTTTGACTATTTTTGAGCTAGTTATACTCGTAGGCTTGCACCCTTGAGAAATTTTTCCCATTTTCTAAATTTTTTTAAAATTATCCTCAATAAAATCTTTTTCATTTAGTAAAAAATCATGAAAATGTAATGATAGGTTCCTTATAATTTTCATTAATGGAAGTTTTAAAAATACATAGGCTAAATTATTTGTTAAAGGTATGATTATAAAGTTCCAGTTTTGACAAAATTCATAAAAGTTTTTTTTTTCATAGGTACCTAACATTTTAATAGAAGGTTTCCAACAAGTTTTTGTAATTCTATCTAACTAAAAAAGTTCCCCAGAAAGTCAAGTTTTAGATCTTTGTTAATTTTTTTTTAGCTACTAAATTTGATTATTTTTACAAGTGTGCTAGGCTGATACAATGTCTCCGCTCAGAATATTTTTTCGTTTACAATAATTTATCAATGTAATTTAATAACACATCCATTACAACGACATGCTTAACACCCACTGTACAGCAGAGCGGTACCCACTTGTCCTGCACCTTTTTTCATATCGTATTAGGTGCCTACTATATTTATGGACATATTAATTTATCAATATTATTATATTAAGTATAAATATATTAAGTGTTTTGTTATTAATTAATTTACTTATTCATTTTATTGTAAGTACAAGGTACTATATTTTTAAGTATATTTGCGCGTAGCCCCCTTATACCTAGGTAGGTATATATTATAATAATTCATAATATTAAATATTTAAATAAATGCAACTGCCAACTGACGATAATGACATTTTAGGCCCCACAAATTTACTCTGCCCCGGGCCCCGCAAATCGTCCGGACGGCCCTGTTTGTGGTACCTACCCAGTAAAAGTGATTCGAATTTCAAGTTTTCAACTTCAGAAGTTCAGTATCTTTTTGTTGGGAATCTAGTTGATGCATTAAAGAGGTCAAAATTTATAATTCGCAGTAATTCGTCAGGAAGAAAAAAAACTTAAGGAAAAATGACAATTTTTACGCAAAATCGATTTTATATTTAATCGATTTTATTTTACTCATAAATTAATAATGACAGTAGATACTTTGAATAATCACCGAAGAGATAATATGAGAATTTTGAGCTATTTTGAGATATCAGAAATTTTTAAATTTTTTTTTTTCAATATTATAGTTGAAAAATAATAATTTTTTGTTCGATCAAAAAACTTTAGAATATAATACAAAGTTCCAGATAGGTTATTTTAATGTAATTTAAAAAAAAAGTTAAGCGTAAATCCATAATAATTTATTAAAGATACATAGGCACAATTATTTTTTATATGCATTTAAAGTTTAAATTTAGACAAAATTCCTAAAATTTGCAAACTTTTTTCAGTCAGAAATTCATTAATTATTTTTTTTCATAGCTATCATTTGAAAATTTGGTAGAAGATTCATTATACGTTTTTTAATACCTTAAACAAAAAAAAAAATATTACCGGTAGAAATTAAGGCTATTTATAGCCATGATGAGATATTTTCGATTTTTATTAAATTTGAATTTTTAAGTATGTTAGGCTGACACACTGTCTCTACTCAGAATCGTATTCCGTATATTATCATTGAATTCAAATTTAACATAACCATTACAATAAATAGCGTAAAAACATTTTTGATTTGTGTGTTGAAAAAAAATGTTAGATTGACATAATGGATAAGTGGAAATTTGAACAGTACCGTATATTATACGATTATAACACACCAACAATGAATGATATTGTTTTCCATATTATTCTGGACACAATTTTTCAGATATTTGTTCAATTAAGTCAATGTATACGTAAAAGTTGAAACATCACACAGTGGACGGAAACGTAATCTAGCTGGCCAAAATTAAAATTTAAGATTATGTAATATAAAAATTATAACATAATATGTCATAATAATATAACATAATATTATCATAGATATATACAAAATACAACAACTAGATAGCCGTCATTATACTACAGTTGTGATCAATATTGAGATCGGCCGCCATTTACAAAGCAGGCAATGTTTACATTTATTTTACATTTAATTATAATTTATTATATACATATATAATTATCTATACATATATACGATGATAATATTATTTTGTAAACATTGCCTGCTTTGTAAATGGCGGCCGACTTCGATGACAAGAAGGAGACGGCTATCTAGTTAGTAGTTGTTGTATATACCTATGATCATTATCGGACTCTATATTAATTACTAATTAGTGATAAATTTATGATTATGATAAATTTAGATATTTATAACCTTGCTGAATTCCCAGATAAGCTTTTACAATATATGAAATTGAGAGTAGGTATAATGTTATTATTGAGTTAACTTTATCTTGTCACGTGGTACTAAGTAGTAAGTACTCATGTCTTAGATTTGATTTTTTTTTCTTTCGATATACATTATGGATAATATTGAACAAGGTAAGTACATTTTTAGAAGTTTTAAAAATTTATATATATTTATTACTTTTGTTTCAAATTTGAAAATTTCCGATTTTTCAATATTTTTTTTAATTTAAAAGGTAGTTTTAAAAATTTATTCATTTTTACAATTTGACAATACATACAAATCATAGCTCAAATATAAAGGGCTACACGGATCAAAAAAAAAATATTGAGTCTATTTGCGTCTGTGCTTAAGAGGACGCTATACCCGCATGCGTTGTCTCCGTCTTACAAATGCACAACATAGCAAAAAACTGTTTTGCGCGGGAAAGAACCGAGAAGGCTACAATCATAACTAAGAAACGATATTTTCACCACATAAAAAGAAGAACTTTGGCTGTGCAACGTTGTTTTTATTTTTTTGATATCATTTATATGAAAAAAGTTTTTCAAGTTTGAAAAACACAAACAATAACGGTTTTTTAAACAGTAAGAACTTTTTTCATATAAGTGATATCAAAAAAATAAAAACAACGTTGCACAGCCATAGTTCTCCTTTTTATGTGGTGAAAATTTCGTTTCTTAGTTATGACTGAAGCCTTCTCGGTTCTTTCCCGCGCAAAATAGTTTTTGATATGTGTACATTTGTAAGACGGAGACAACACATGCGGGTATAGCGTCCTCTTAAAATGTATTCTTTTCTAGGGACTAGTATTATGGAGAGAGTAGTCTAATAAATTTGAAATTTCGAGATCTATTTTAATTGTTGGGGGAAAAAACGACCATTAAATCCTACTAATGTTGAATCCAGGCTTTATTTATATGAGCTTATTAACCTTTTCCCTGCCTGTAAAGGGACATAATGCTGATAATTAATTATTGTAATTAGAAAATGTGTTTTTTTTAAAGTATTATACCGGCTGAAAACTAATACAATTTTCCTTAATTTAAAATTTGAATATATATATTTCTTTTTTTATTAAATAAAAAAATAAGCTAATAAAATGGTTGCGTGATGAATAGAGATGGTTAAAAAATGGTTGTGAGACATTTCATGACCGGGATTGTCCTAGTAGGCGGATAAACCATACACAAAAAAAATTTCACAAAAAAATAAATAAATTATGAATGAACAAATTATTCAAAATTTTCCAAAAATTAATTCCAAAAAAAATGTTTATTTTATTTTTAAATTGATCTCTGTATACAGATAATTGTGAAAAAAACCGCATTAAAAAATATTGATTTTCTTCGGAGATATTAATTTAGGCAAGCTAGATTACGTTTCCAACCACTGTGCGTCATGTCGAATTTTGTCACCTACATAATTTTCAATATACCTAACCATTATTCATATTATGCAAATAAAAATATATAATTAAAAAATACTAAAAGTACGAAATGACAAATTTTTATCTAATTGATCAGTTGAGGCATAGTTAAAAATAGATCTGTTGACATCAG